GGGGGGAGGACCAGGGAGGATGATTCAACCACTCAACCACTAGATGTCGCTGAAAACAACAAATCCTACACACTGTGCCTTTAAGAAAGTATTAATACGATAGTTTATTTACTATATTCTGAGTTACTGAATAATATCTGAAGCTCAGTCCTGTCTGGAGCAGAAGCCCAGAACCAGATCCTGCCTCACTGCAGCTGACATCTCTCCACAGACATGTTCCTGTATCTTCTGGGTCTGTTGGTTCTGTTCTACCTGTTCCGTTGGGTCAGAGAGCAGCCCAGGGTCTCTGACAAGGCCAACAAGTACGTGTACATCACGGGCTGCGACTCTGGCTTCGGGAACCTTCTGGCCCGCCACCTGGACAAGCTGGGGTTCCGAGTCATCGCGGGGTGCTACACGGAGAAGGGCGAGGAGGAGCTGAGGAAGGGCTGCTCCGGAAACCTCATCACCTCCCACTTGGATGTGTCCTCCAAGGAGAGTGTGGCCAAAATGGCCGCCTTGATCCGGGAGAAAGTGGGTGAGCAGGGTGAGTTCAAACCTGATAGATCTGATAGCAGACTGCTGTGGTCGTGTTCCCCCCTGTGTCTGCTGGTCTGCAAGCGAAATATCTCATGAATTGAATTTTTATCAAGTATGCAAAGTCTTTGGATGAACAAAGACTATTTTTTCCTACATTTTTCCATTTATTTTGGTGACAATGCTTCATAAATCCTCCAGTCATGTCACTACCCATCTCCATTATTTCCTCATGCCAAAATGGAACCAAAACTGGGRTCMTTTGCCTCTGCACAATGTCTAGTTAAGTCAACATGTTGATTTTATATTCTCTTTTTTTTGCATTTGTGGAAATCCAGGTCGGCAACCAAAGTGGCACAATAAACATACCTGTGACAAAATTTCAAGTGGATTTCATCAACTTGTGTTTACTATGCATGTTGAAGATTATAAATATACAAAGCTTTGAAAAAAAATATCAACAGGGTGTACAGGGGAGAAGTTCCTGTGATTCATTTTAGGCGAATTTTAGCATTTTTATGTTTTTACTCCAGCTATTATGCATCGATTATGATATAATCACAGGAATCTTTTTGTCAACAAATTACCCATGAAAAGACAAAAATAAAATGGGGTGAATGGTGTCTGTCGGGTGTATAGTTTAGGAGCTATGTTGATTTAAAGTTTTCATTTTTCACAATGGAAAGTCCAGGTCGGCCATTAAAGATGGTCAATAAAAACAWATATGGGACAATAATTTGCTCTGGAGCCATCACAATCTATTTACTAGACACCTTAAGGAGTACAAAAAGTTAGGTTAAAAAAATATATCTTTTGGGTGCATGGGAACCCCTCCTTCCTACTACGCTGTAATAAAATATCTGCAACAACCAGACTCTAAGGGTCGTTAAAGTTTCATCTAAGTGAAGTTATTGTTTGTCTTTATTAAATAAAAAATAAAATAAATCTGTTATATATCTGCCATTGGCTGCCCAAATTGATTTTGTCCAAAATCAAATAGCTAACACTGTCAGGTATTATAAGGTCACAGTACACCTTCAATGTTCKTGTTTTATTGCAAAATGTTGAACAGTACCCTTGAAACAACACAAACTTGTTTGAACTGGACATTAGGTAGAGCTCACAGCAGAGCAGAAGGGGACAGAGGCTGATCATCATCAGACCTTTGTGGAGGTAGATGAGAAGCAGATCTTTTCCACTGTTCTTATCTAAGTATCGGCTGATGTCTGACCTCCCAAAATAAAGGAAATCAGTGCAGCTTTATCAGTGCACCCCTGGAAATCCAATATCTGTGGACTCTTTCAGGACTGTGGTGTCTTTTATTGGTAACATTTAGTTCTGTTAGATGTCTGGACTTGTGTTCTGGTCTCGGCAGGTCTCTGGGCCGTGGTGAACAATGCCGGCGTGTCGGTTCCCTCTGGTCCGGTCGACTGGCTCAACATTGACGACTACAAAGTCATGCTGGAAGTGAACCTGACCGGGGTAATCGCGGTCACCCTGAGCGTCCTGCCACTCATAAAGATGGCCCAGGGCCGGGTGGTGAATGTGGCCAGCGTGTTCGGGAGAATCAGCCCCGTCGGGGGCCCGTACTGCGTGTCAAAGTACGGCGTGGAGGCGTTTAACGACAGCCTCAGGTGAAACATTAACTCACGTTATCTCGACACAGATTACTGAGCCCACTAAAACCAAACCCCTTCTTCAGGCTGAACATGGCTGCGTTTGGGGTCAAAGTGCTCTGCATCGAGCCGGGCTTCTTCAAAACCAACGTGACCGACACCGGGATCCAGATCAAAAACCTCCACGCTCTGTGGGACCGGCTGCCGCAGGACCTCAAAGACGAATATGGAAGCGATTACATCCCAAACGGTACGAGCGCATCGTCCTTCGTCTGCATCTCTGTTGAATTCGTTTTTAACGTTTGTTTTTCTCGCAGCTGTAAAAACGATCAAAGAGAAGGTGGAGAAACTCAGCGACGCGGACCTGATGAAGGTGGTCAGCTGCATGGAGCACGCCGTGTCCGCCGTCTGGCCCCGCAAGCGCTACTCGCCCGGCTGGGACGCCAAGTTCTTCTGGCTGCCGCTGTCCTACATGCCGAGCTGCGTCGCCGACTACCTCCTGCTGAAGGAGGCCATCCCCATCGCCAAGAAGGTCCACTAACTTCCTGGTCCTGAGCCCGGACTTCCCCGAGGCCTGGTGTTAAACTTGGGATGAAATGGAACGAAATGACGAGTCTGCTTTAGATCTGATCGCCACACAAACCTGCAGCAAGATCGTTTGACTTCCTGTTACAGAAAATGACCATAAAATATTTAAAAGCTGTTTTCTGTACGATGACAACGTCCCGTAACACAACGTTCCTCTCTAGATTTGTTTAAATAAATCAGATCCTGTACAAAATGTTGGAGACCTGCTTGTTTTTACTGAAGCACCAAACACAGGAGCACATTTTACAGACAGAAGTGTCAGATTCCATCTTTATAAACAGTTTTTCCATTCATGTTGCATCAGTTTCTCAAACACCTCAGTGGAGATGATTACAAGACAAAATATTTCTCCTGTTCTGACAAAATGTCAGAAGTTTAGCTAATGAAGCRTGAGATTAGGAGGCTCCAGACGTCAGCCTCTGATCCGGATCAGTAACCAAACAGTTTGGACCCATATTTTTTTAGGATTTAGACATGGAGCTGAACAGCCTCAGAACTCTGCAGCTGTGACCCAGACTGACAGAATCTAGACGTTTATATTTTCCAAGGTTAGATAATGTCACATTTGTGTTCTGCAGACAAAACTTTCTGAACTCAGATGTTTTGACTAATGGAAGTAACCCATCACTTCCAGCATTTAGACGGATTAAAAATTATTTTGAACGTAATACAAATGTTGTGTCCTTCAGCTTTGCTGCACAGCAAAGTGTTGWAAATCAGTTCTAAGACTGACACTTAAGATTAGTCTAACACTTTGTTTAAAGTCAGACTGAGGCGCTTGATAACTGACTTTCAATCCCAACTTTGACCTGAGGAAAGTTCGCTCTTTAGAGTATTTCTGATTAGTTAGATCAATGGGAGCCCAGGTCATATAAAATGGAAGCATCAGCATGAAACCAGACTGGGAGTTCAGGGCTTTGCCATGGAAGTGGTCAGCAGCYCAGGATCACCACCACCACAAGCTTTATGGTTCTTTAATTAAAGCAAACAGTTTTATAACACGACGATCCCAAAGACACCTTAATTTAAACTAATATTTGTTCACTGGAAGACGTTAAATATTCCTGTAAATGTTTTATTTACAAATTACTAAAGATGTTAACTGAAGACTTTTCCATCCAGCCTTACACGTTGAAGCAGGACTCACTTTTTTAGAAGTTCCGGGACAAATAATTTGACAGTTCAGTTTTCTCTATTTTCTGACGTTTTCTGAATAAGATGAAATATACGACCCAAACAGAATATAGATATTTACACAGCACTGGGAGAAACTAACCAATGTTTCTGCACTCCTACAGACTCCAAGTATGTAACAAAATGTTTGTAAAACGGCTAAACAAAAAGATTTTGCATATGTAACAGCTTCACTGTAGCCTGCAGGTTTAGGACCAGAACAAAACCRAGCCTCCATGTTTCAAAGCAGGTTCACTGAATTTTAGGTGAACTTTGCCTGTTTTAGTCAAATGAGGGAAGATTTCAGAGCAGCAGCTTGTTTACGGCGGTGTTGCATCACCTCCTCAAACGTCTCTGTGGAGGTAATTACTGTTGTTGTGAAAAAGGAAATATTTCCCCATTTCTACTCCAAACAGGATGTCAGCAGTTCAGCTCGTCTGGGCCCTCTGTGTTCTATTCATTTYATAAACAAGTTGATGGTTGACGGGTCGTGACTTCAGACTAACTCGGCTCATTAGTGACTCGAGCAGAAAGGTGGTATGAAATATTTGYAAAAAGTTTAAGATAAGCAGAAACTGAACTCTTTAAAAGTAAATATGACATTGAAGGGTTAAATACTGTCAGGTCTTTAAAGGAGACATCATGCTAAATGCGCTTTTTTTGTGTTTATAAACTATTTTTTGTGCAATTATAGTGTCTAGGAGTGTAGAAAAGTTTAATTTATTCTGTCCAGTTACTGCAAAGATATTTTTATATTATTTTTTGGGTCAAAATCTTCTGTTGCTTATTTCGTTTTGTTTCGTCACACTTTTTTCTTCGGAACTACCATTTATGGTAATGTATTTCCGGCCAACTCGGTTTCATAGTCCGCCATTTTTTTCCCTCGCAGTGATCTTGTAGTTCAAATACCGTCATGCTGAAGGTGCAGGAGCCGCGATGAGTTGAGTATTAAACTGAAGTGGATCCATCATGCTTTTAAATCATTCTTTTTCACATCTAAGTTGSAGTCTATTTAGGGTATAACTATTCAAAGTAACAATAAAAATATGTTCACACTGCAGGCAAATGTGACTCATATCCGATTTTTTTTGACAGTCTGAACGCGACAAATCCGATTTTTTGAAATCCGACCCAGGTCGTTTCAGTATGTGGTTTTAAATCAGATATATATCTGATGTTTTGAAAGTGACTGCAGTGTGAACGCTCATCACATTCCGACTTTTTCATCAGGGAGGAGAGGATAAGAGACTAACCTGAAGTCACGCTGTTTAAATCTGTAGCTCCATGTGTTTACAGCTCCAAAACACAAGTCCAGTTGATTCATCTTTTTATTTTTCATTTTCCATCATGTAGATAGTAACGTCCAGCCTGGGTCGCAGAGAGTATCAATCCTAAAGTGACTCGTTCGATACTTTATTTCCACCTCAATGTTTCTTACAAAAACGAGGAATTGAGACCAAAGCGTTGCAGTTTTATTTTAAATAGACCATAAGTGAATGATTTAAACGTGAAAAGAAGGATTTAAAAGCATGATCTGTTACCTTTAAAGTGGAGACAAACAGGCGTCCAATCTTTTTGTCCGCTTTTATTCCAGAACGTAACAAGTCAGAAACCCTAACAAGACCACCCTCTGGTGGTCTGCCTGAATATGAAGCACACAGCTGATGAGTTTATGTAAAGACAGTAATTTATTCCATCTTTCAGTGGAAACCTTAAATAGAACTTTCTTCAGGATGACAGGACAGGTACATTTGTATTTTTCAGCATGTTTTACAGACCACGTGCTCCTAACCACAGGACCCCCTCCCCTCTCYGATGCTCCTCCTCTCTGCTCAGTACGAATGTTCAGGTGTTTATGAGTGCTCCTCGGCCAGCTTGTCGGCTTTCTGGACCACTTCCTCGATGGGGCCGACCATGTAGAAGGCCTGCTCGGGCAGGGCGTCGTACTCGCCTGGACAAGAAGAACAGAGCGTGAGCAGAGTAATCTCAGAGTTTTGGATTGTATTGAGGGGCTCTGTAGATACCTACCACCCAGGATGGCCTTGAAGCCTTTGATGGTTTCTTTGAGGGGCACCAGTTTGCCCAAATGACCGGTGAAGACCTCAGCCACCTGGAAGGGCTGGGACAGGAAACGCTGGATCTTACGGGCGCGGGCGACTGTCAGTTTGTCCTCCTCAGACAACTCATCCATACCCAGGATGGCAATGATATCCTGGAGGGACTTGTAGTCCTAGAATGAACAAACAAACTCGTTAGCCCTGTACATACTGATCCTCTCTAAAAAAAGGGTCAACATTAGGGGTCTAACCTGGAGGATTTTCTGCACGCCACGAGCGACGTCATAATGCTCAGCTCCTACAATGTTGGGGTCCATGATACGGGAGGTGGAGTCCAGGGGGTCGACGGCGGGGTAGATACCCAGCTCAGCGATGGCACGGGACAGCACAGTGGTGGCGTCCAAGTGGGCGAAGGTGGTGGCCGGGGCGGGGTCAGTCAGATCATCAGCGGGCACGTAGATGGCCTAACAGAGAATAAAGCTTCATTAGGTTTGATCTGATCAACAATCCCCAGTGAAGATGGTCTGAAACGTCACCTGCACAGATGTGATGGAACCCTTCTTGGTGGTGGTGATTCTCTCCTGCATGGTACCCATGTCAGTGGCCAGGGTGGGCTGGTACCCCACAGCTGAGGGGATACGACCCAGCAGGGCAGACACCTGGAGGAGCAGGAACACATTAGTTTTTACCAGCAAACAGGGAGGCTGCTGAGCGTCTCATGACGCGCTCCAGACCTCAGAGCCGGCCTGTGTGAAGCGGAAGATGTTGTCGATGAACAGCAGCACATCCTGACCCTCCTGGTCACGGAAGTACTCGGCCACGGTCAGTCCAGTCAGAGCCACCCTGGCACGAGCGCCCGGGGGCTCGTTCATCTGTCCGTACACCAGCGCCACCTAGCAGGGACGAGAAGTAGGAAGTGATCAGTCAGGGCAATCCTGGTCCTTGAGGGTCACTGTCCTGCATTTTTGACCCATTTCTCTGCTCCGACACACCTAATTCAGTGACTGAATTACAGTTTCACGTTCTGCAAAAGATTAATCATCACTCACCCGGGTTCCCACACCTTGGTCAACATCAAATTCAAGGACCTTTCAAGGACTTCCCAGTACCAATTTCCTCAAATTAAAGAACCAGGCGCAACGACAATTACCTACTGTTACTGCAGAATGTTACCAATAAACAGGTTTTATATCATGTAAATTCAATGAAAAACTGAACATAGAAGTTGATGAGTCAGAAACAATGACGTCAGTTTACTATAATCCTGAGTTGTCCAACACAACAAATGTAAGTTTATTTAAATTTAATTTTATAATTATTTTTTTAAAAGATTAAAATCAGTCATGTGAATAGAGAATTTCAATCCCCCCCAAAAAAACTTCAAGGACTTTCAAGGACAAGTGTAATTTTTGGCTGTTTTCACAAGGCCTTGAAATCATTTTTTCAAATTCACAAACTTTCAAGGATTTCAAGGACCCGTGGGAACCCCGACTCACTCAAAAAGGTGTGTTGGAACAAAGAAAGAGGCAAAGCCTGTGTAAAATCAGAGTTTCTCTGGTCTCAGCAGATCTTCAGGAGCCTCACCTTGGAGGTGGTGTCCTTCAGGTTGATGACACCAGACTCAATCATCTCGTGGTACAGGTCGTTTCCCTCGCGGGTACGCTCCCCCACGCCAGCGAAGACGGAGTAACCACCGTGGGCCTTGGCCACGTTGTTGATCAGCTCCATGATCAGCACAGTCTTTCCTACACCGGCACCACCGAACAGCCCTGCCACGAGGAAAACACACGTTAGGACATTCTCAAGTATTTAGGTTTCAACATCGGCCCCGTTCAATGACCACGTACCAATCTTTCCTCCCTTGGCGTAGGGAGCGAGCAGGTCCACAACCTTAATGCCAGTCACCAGAATCTCCTGCTCCACACTCATGTCGGTGAATTCAGGAGCCTCGGCGTGGATGGGTGA